TAAACCCAATATAGCATATTATTAAATGCTATTTCACATGCGGGATCCTGCGGCTTAGCTTTGGTTCGGGAGGCTTCAGTTCGGGACCTTGGTTCGGGAGGTTTCGGTTCGGGACCTTGGTTCGGGAGGCTTCGGTTCGGGACCTTGGTTCGGGAGACTTCGGTTCGGGACCTTGGTTCGGGTCATGATCATATTTCCCACGTGCCTACGGCTAGGTCACGTTTTCTCACTTACTCACGTGCCTACAGCTAGATCACGTTTTGCCCCTCACACCGCTTATAAGTCGTATTACCGGCAATTGCTGATTTTAATTATTGATTGGTTGATTGTTTTATTATGCTTATTCTGCTTATGAGACTGTTATGAACCCGTATTGATTTTCTGTCTAAATGATTTTAATTAGATCCTGTGTGGTCGAAATAATACTAATAATTTTCTGATTTCATTATCACTTTATTTAATAATCACCAAATTCCCATCAAAAATTTTCGCCCATATGTAGTGATTATGTTATGCCGAAATAATTCTGTACAACAGATCATTAGATATAATTTTAAAAATGATTAATAATGCAACTAAATAGTTTTTAAACCATTAATAGTTATGACGCCTTTAATACTAATCACAGTACTCGCATTTATATAAGAAATTTAAATTTGAGTAATCTATGAAAAGAGGATATTGGAATACTTTAAGCATAGAAATTTTATATGACGGATAAGATACAGTATGCCAATATATAGATTATTATATAAATGCATGTTTAGCATCAGTATCAACTAAAACTTTGAAAAAATGGATATGACGCATGTTAAAAGATGTGTCATTCAGAATATAAGATAAATTTACTACATCAAAACTTGATCTATTATTTCTCTTTTAATATCTAAAATAACTTTCAAATGCCTTCCATAATGTTGCTCATGATTTTTACACTCAACTTTATCTGTTAAACTATCACCATCTTCACAAAAGAAATTTTTATTTCTCAACTTTGGTAAGTAAAGTTCATAAGCTGGCATATACCTATCGATAAAATCTATAACTTGTTCATCTGTCATCCCTTCTTTTCCTAAATTTTTCATAGTTCTTTCTTGCTCTAATCTCCATTGATAAACGTAATTAATATCTTGCGCATCAAGATGAACAAATACATCAAGAAACTTGTACCATTCTTGTTCATAGTTTTGCAGATTTTCATTTATGGATGAAAGATGGGATGACAGATGAACAAGTTATAGATTTTATCGATAGGTATATGCCAGCTTATGAACTTTACTTACCA